TTATTTTGATGACACAGCTTGCAATGAACCTGAGCGATGAAAATGAACATTCTGCCATTTTCCATCCTTCCTCTGCCACACCCGAGTCTCCTCAGACTGGACAGTGATTGGCACGCCATCTCTGTTAAGAACAAAAACACATAAATATATATTGCCTGAAATAACAACCTTTTCATATTAACCATACAATCAGGTATTAATTATAAAAATAAAAATCTTGTGTTAATAAATAGGTTTTTACTTAATACCCACTAAACAGATTTTTATCACTTTAAATGTTATTTTTAATGGATACTCATATTTAAATAGATGCTTCTTTTATTTATTAAACAGTATATTTATTTACTTTCACCTACCAGCCTGTATATTCAAGAAATCTTATAAAAAGAAAAATATGCAGTCTCAGGCAGGATTTGAACCTGTGTCCCTTTGGGCAAAGGGAAGTATCATTAGATCTGATGCGCCTTAACCGATAATAATAATTTTGAGGAATCTATGATTAGAAGGATTTTACTTAAAGGCACTATTCAAACTTTGTTTGATCAACAAAGCTTCTTTGTGACTGAATCAGTTAAGGTATTTTATATATATATATATATATATATATATATATATATTTTTAAGACATTTTTATGTTTATACATTCTTTTTATAGATACAAATATTTAAGTAAATGCTCTGTAAAAAGAATGTATAAACATAAAAATGTCTTAAAAATAATTGTCAAACTTTGTCCATTTCATAATGTGTGACTATATATAGATATATATAGGTTTCTAACTATAACTTATTAATACCCACTGTTCCATTTTTGGGATGATAGGCATTAATAAGTTAAAATAACTAAAACAAATAAAAGCAAATTTGTATCAGTGACCAATCTTTACCAACAATATTAATGCAAAATTATGTTACACTACGTTTCAAATTAGATCCCTTTCTGATTAGCTCAACATGCTGGTCAGATGCGAATGCTAAGAACGAAAAACCAAAAATAAAAAAGTCATCCTCTGTGCAGGGGCTCTGAGTATCACATCCAGTCCACAAAAAGATGAGTCAAGCAATTTTCTTTTAAGAAAGCTGCTCATATACAACTGGGACAGAATTTCAGCAAATGGGCCAGCTGTCAATTCCCAGAAATTTCTCAAAATCACCACCTGTTACTTTTTTCAACCACCTCAACAAATGCATCGACTCCAGGCCCTACCAACTGTACCCCTACTCCAGGTTGCTTTCCTTGCCCACAAAGACACATTCTTCTCACATTCTCTGTTTTGGCAACACAGAGAATTTTATATTAACAATTTTTGTCTTCTTTTTCCTCACTAGTGGTACTTGTTTTGTTTGTTCTTTCATGCAACCATATGCATGTTTATAACACTCATCACAGTCAGCAGCTGTTGTTTTTGTAGCATTATATATAATAAACTACACACTAGAAGAACTAAATACATTTACTTATCTCAAGCCTACCATTGGAAACAACCTTTTACTTAATACTGAAATAAGCAGTTACATTGGTAAGACAGCTATTTTGAAAAATCACAGCTAGAGTGTACAGAGCCAGTGTTATAAGAACACTCTTGTATGATAGTGTGGCCTGGAACCCTTATGTACTTCAAGAGCAGAGGCCGAATAGATTTCACTTGTGCTGCCTGAGACACATACTGGGTATCACTTGGAGGGACATAATCATGCAAACCTCATTTCTTGGAAGATCATAGTTTCTAAGCATGTACTCTCTTCTGAGATGGTTTTTGCTGGTTGGGCCATGTCTAGAAGATGAATGAGGGAAGAATTCCAAAGAACATCCTCTATGGAAAATTGTCAAACAGAAGAAGAAAAACTGGCTGCCCAAAAGATCTCATATTGTTTAATATCAACTGTGCCATCCTGGGAAAACCCTGGCTTCAGTGGCAACGGTCAATCTGCAGTGGGTTGTTGACATATTTGACCACAGAGAAGTCAAGTGAACAAAGAGGAAGTAAAAACAATAGGAAGGCATCACCACAGCATTGGGATAAGCCTGTACATGCAACATCTGCAGCTGTGTCTACCTTTCACACATTGAGCTTCACAGCCACATGAGAGTTTGACTCTTGAGCATGACTATCCTGGGTATGACGATAATCTGCATCTGTGTCCTTGGTAAGACGATAAACTATGTCTAACAGCAAGGCCTCTGATCAGGAGGTTTTGAGGAGTGTGGAACCACCACCACTTAATTGCTGGTGTTCACAGGTCCACCCTGACCTGGGGTGGTAGCACCTGTTAGGGTCCCAGCTATGGGCAAATAGTTAAGCCCGAAACTGAGGTAAAAAGCATTATAAAATATTGCCAGCAATACGTTTTTGAAGAAAAAAAAAAACTATTACCAGCAATACTTTTTTGAAAAAAAACTATTGCCAGCAATATGTTTTTGAAAAAATAATGTTACCAGCTATATGTTTTTGAAAAAATAATATTACCAGCTATACATTTTTGAGGAAAAAAAATATTAACAGAAATAGATTTTTGACAAAACAAAAAAATTACCAGGAAAAAAAAAATGTTGTTGGCATTAAATGACCCATTGAGGTTGATATACCGTAAAACAAACCAAACCAATCTTGAGCATGAAAAATCAATGGTTTTCAGAGACTGTGATGCTTATAATGATATAATAGACTTCAGGTAAAATTTAAAGATTAGTGACAGTTGGGAAAAACCTGGAGATAGAATGATAAGAATTGATAATCTGATTTTCAATGTGCATTCTTAAGAGATAATGACACTGTTCAATTTCTTAGCACGGGGTTGGCAACCTTTGGTCTGTGACGGATTTTTGTCTGGCCTACCAACTTAACACCTGAACACTAATTATCTAGTTAATTTGTGGAGCAATTGGCAGAAAAAATATCAGTTGGAGTTAATTGACCTACGATGCAACAAATTTTTTAAATCAAAATTTCATTCTGAATCCACTGTTGACTTCTATAAGAAATATGGTTTGCCAAGCAGAGAATATAGAGCCTATATAATAATGCAAAAATGATGGTATCATTATTTGAAAATGAAATATACTAAAAGTCATTTAAGATGGAGGTTGAATGATGACCACCTGGATGATGTTTTGCTTCTGTCATCAACAAATATTTCACCTGATGTGGAGAAATTATTGAATGATAAGCAGAAACAAGTGTCTCATGAAATAATTTGTCTAAGTGTATTTTGTTTGTAGTAAGGAATTTGCCTTTTTTTTTATTGAGTTAATTGTTACCCTGTTATTCCTGCATTAAAATAAGAAACTTTGTTTAAATAATATAATATTAACTTTTTTTTTCTTTAAACCTCCAGACCAAGGCAGCCTTCTGGATGGAGTAGTCTGAGATTGAAACAATGTAATATAACATTTGATATCATTTCCCCCTCCAAGATGCTGCATAGTTTTCTGGACCACTCTTCAAAAGGTTGCTGACCCATCTTAGCATATTACAAACATTACACTAAAACATTCCAGATTGAGAATATGTAAATCTTCACAAGGTAATTCAATAAATTGTCATACCTTATATATGGACAGCAATATCATTCTGTTTCTGAAATAGACTGATCTGACTGGTATAATAACAGCCATATTTTTTCATATTGCAGTTTTCTGAAGAAATATATACTTGACAAAAGCTTGTCAAAATATGGTCACAACATCACTGCGTGCTGAAACTTTCTTCTGTGTTTAATTCCCAATTTTTTTGCTATTGCAAGAAATACTAACGTGTATTTGTTTTGCTGTTTCTACAAACTATTGTTACATTCAAGTTCTGTAAATATGCAGATTAAGTCGTCTCTCTCAAATGTTATACATATGTCCTAATCCATGTGTTATGGCCAGTTAGCACAGCACAAAGTTTAAAAAGATAAAAAAAAAAACAACTTGTCATCTAAGAGACAACTAGGTTTACCACGGATTCTTGGGCAGGCTCAAATACATGATTTCAGAATGATAGCCAACGGTGACAAAGGCCAATATACAAATTAACAAGATTTAATTACAACTAGAGACAATACATAAAAACATTTAGATATGAGAATAAATGAAAAGATGTGTGCTATACATTTTTGTGTGGAAAGATGTTATACTGGAACACACCTATTCTATTGTTAATAGACTCTCCCACCTATAATAAGTAGGAGTAGTAGCAGTCGCAGGGAGTTGATCAGTCAGTTGATGTCAGACGACCGTTAGTTGGATACTAAAAGTATCAGCGACCACCACTAGATTTCTCTGCGTCATTACCTATTATATGAAGTTCCTAACGTTTTGTACGTCGAACCTATTTTAGGACTGACTTAATGAAATACAAGCTTCCACTGTGAAACTACTCTATAACAAAAGATGCATGTGTTATTTTATGATGGCAAAAGTTGAAACAAAAATTTAGCTTCAGTTTTTCTTCTGAAATAAAATAAGGCTTTCTCTTTTCCCTTCTCTTTGTCCCTTTTAATTTCAAATCAGTTCATTCGATCAAGTACCAGTGACTTTTGATCTATTCTTCTTACTTCCATGTTTCATTCATTATCTGGTCATTTAGTTTCAGCACTGCAGAAATCATGTTTGGTTATGAAGACATAAGTCATAGTGCAGAATTCATGTTTCAGATTGTCCACTTAAGTATATCACATATGTGTTTCTTAGGTGACAGTCATGTTTTGCCATTCATCTATGCCCTTAATATAAGCTGCATAGTGTTAAGTTAAACTGGAGTTCGTCATGTTGTGTGATCTCTCTTGCATGACTGTAACAAGTGAAAGAGGAATTATCTGTGCAATTATTTCCATTTAATTGTGTGTTTGAGTTTCATGTGAGTTGGGGTCATCATTCCTTCTCTTCAATTCAGAAAGTCTATTCACATGAGAATTTAATATACAATGTGTTTCCTTTGAGATTTGTCACCCAACTGGGTTCTGTCAATCTTTCCCACTCAATCATTCATATCTGGTCACATGATTTGTCATGTGTGTGAGAATCTATTTTTAGCTTTGGCTTACATCTGTTGCTGTGGTCATCATCTGAGCTAACAGCTTTTGTATTCAGCAACTGCTATTACATATCAAAAGAGAGAGGGGGAGAGTTCACATATTATAGTGAAAGAGAGATGGGTTGCTAAGTGGAATATTTTGTGTTGGTATGGGTGGTGAATTGTGGAAATCTGTAACACCTGCTACTATATCTTGGTTATAGTAATGTTGTATTAGAATGGTAAGATACAGTTACTGCCATCAGTCATGCCAAAAGGTCTATTGTTTAAAATTTTGCTTGGGGATATCAAGTTCTATTAAGCTTGGATGTGCAGATGGCGTAATGGATAAGACTTGGAATTGAAAGTCAGAGAGCCGAGTTTACAACAAAAATATTAAACACTATTTATTAGATTGTTTATTTACAAGAATAATTTTATATTTACAACATTCTAAAAAAACAATGCAATTGTTTTAAAACTAATGCAATGCAATATTTATCATTTATCAAATTATAAAGAAATAAATATGAAAAACATTTTTTATTCATAAATTTATAAACATTTACTAAATTATAAAAATATGTGAACCGTAAGAAAATCCTTATTATTTACTATTTTATAAAGTTTGAATCAATTGATAATTAGCCAATGTTTTACTCACCATTCCAACAGACAATATAGTGTAAATAAATAAATGTTTAATATTTTTGTTGTAAATTTTCAAGGACAAAGAAAATGTATAAATTTACTTTCATATGTTTAGGCTTTATTAAAATTCTGATCATTGCATTTTAAAACAATAAACATTGCCGAGAAATGAAGGTAGTTAAAATAATCATGATGCCAAGGGAAAAACTGTCCTTTTAAATGTATTTTTGTGAGCACAAAGGTTAAAGATTGCTGGAAAATCTTTTAAGAAATGTGCTTCTGGAGAATGGATTCTTTTGTTTTTGAATATTTTTAAGGTTACTGCTCCTCACATATTGAAAATCTTAAGACTTCTGACTTCAATTACAAAACTTTAGCCTCTGAATGTTTCCTCATCAGCATACCAGTGACATCATACAATGGCTACATCCTGATTTAAGGGGAATGTAAATAGCACTTCCTAGTTTTTATTTTCAAGTGTGTTGGTTTAATTTATATTGTGTAATGAACAAATGATCAGCCCAATTGTTCTGGGCTGAACAGATCAAAACAAATACTTAGTAAGTGTTGCATTTAATTGAAAATTCATTAGACAAAGAGACTAGCAGTGACCTCTATAAGTCAAGATAGAGAAGTCAAGTTTCAAAGGGTAAGGAGCCCACTAAAGATTTAAGCCAACTTGTTTTAAATAAAGAATTTGTTAATGAAGAAAAACACAGTAAATGTTATTCAATTACCAAATTCTTACCTGTCAATGTATTGTGTAAGTCGAACATATGCAATACACGCGGCATCGTCTCCTAGCAGATGGACATGAGGGTTCAAGATTGTGGTATTCAACGGCTTATTGTTCTTGGATAAAACTGCAATTATATATATATATATATATATATATGTGTATAAAAGAAAGAATGAAATTAAACTGCTTGATAATAAAGACAAATTATTTCAAGATATTCATGCTAAGCAAATATAAGAATTTGTGTCTCTCTTCAAAAAGCAACAAAAGATAGACAAAATTGTAGATATTTATATAAATGGAGTTATCTTTTTCATCCTTCTAAGTGAACATGATCCACCTGGATGCATATTGACTGTGTCAGAGAAATTGCTGTAGCTTGATGGTTAATGAATTGGTGTCAAAGGCCATACTATACCTATGAAAGATTCTGTGATAAAATAAGCAGAATTTAGTAAATACATGCAAATATTAAATTGACATATTTTAATCAAGAAAATGTTTAGTATACATCATTGTTGAAAGAGTGGACAATATAATGAAAAGAAAAATATCATAAGCAAAAAGTATGAAATCAACATAGATAAAATAAAAATAAATCTATCCACTTTATTTTGCCCATAATACTTGCATCAATTCCTGGCAATTGAAAATCCTCACCTCACAGTTCCAATTTCATACATTTACAGTGTAACCCGGATATAAGAGAGTTGTTGGGACCGGAGAAGAAGTCTCTTATATCTGGGTTTGGTCTATTTTGTTTAGGTAAGTATGGGAACACTTTGGGACCAGAGAAAATCTCTCTTATATCCGGGTTTCTCTTATATCCGGGTTTGGTCTATTTTGTTTAGGTAAGTATGGGAACACTTTGGGACCAGAGAAAATCTCTTATATCCGGGTTTCTCTTATATCCGGGTTTGGTTTTTGTTTTTTGGGAACACTTTGGGACCAGAGAAAATCTCTCTTATATCCGGGTTTGGTCTATTTTGTTTTATGGGAACACTTTGGGACCAGAAAAAATCTCTTATATCCGGGTTTCTCTTATATCCGGGTTACACTGTATAACAAAATTATTTGCAATACTTAAAAAAAAAAATTTTAACAATGGATTGCTTAATTTTATTATACACATAGCACAATTCTGTCAGTAGCACCTGGATTAATTCCTGAACACTTCTTTTGCAGATTTTGCAATGCATTTATATAGAAATAATTTTTCAATGATTTTCTGTAATAAAAAATACTTCAATGCATTTTTATAGTATAATCATTAACAATCTATTTACAGGTGGCAATAATATTTTTTAAACAAATGTTTTCAGGCCTCTGCATATTACATGAAAAGAAAATTTTCCCAATTTTGACTATAAAAATGAGTAGTTATGCTTTCTATAGTAAAATCATTTATCTATATTTCTGAGATGAGGCATTATGTACACTATTTACATTATTTGGACTATTGTCCTCATCTTTGTTGCCATATCTATCACAATGTTTCGGCCGTTGTATGCTCCGGCCTTCTTCAGGTGGTTGGAATGTCAAACTGAACCTTTTATTTCACTCGCTGTGGTAGATTGTTCTAGTTCCATGTGCCATGTCACAGGACAACATGGCGCAGTGGATAAAGATGTTGGTTAGATCCAGTGACAGGACTCAAAGTGTTGTGAGTTCAATACCTGGTTAAGGCAGTGGCAAACTTGGAAAGGTGAATTAACAGGAGATAACTGATAATTGACATCCATTATACATGGCACATGGAACCAGAAAAGTCTACCCCCACAAGCAAAATAAAGGGTTCAGTTTGACATTCCATCCATCTGAAGAAGGCAGGAGCATATAATAATCAAAATGTTGTGATAAATATGGCAACAAAGATGAGGACAATAGTCCGAATAATGTAAATAGTGTAAAATCAATTACAATGCATTTTTATAGTATAGTTGTTAACAATCCATTTACATTAAACATATGAGGTAGTATTGTTTGGTAGATCCCATGTTTGATTTCAACGATGTTGGAGTACCAATGGATTATTTGGAAGTGGTTCTCATGGATGAATAAACAAATTTTTTCAAACATTTTCTGGTATTTTGCTGATGATCAGTCAACCTAAATAATCACTAACTTGAATGGATACTTGACAGACCTTGTAACATGTATGCCACTGAAAATAGCTTCTTTAATTGGTGGCAATAAATAATGTTTGTGTAAACCATTGTTTTCAGGACTCTTGATATTACATGAAAAGAAAGAATTATGTTTTCTCAACTTTGACTATAAAAATTAATAATTATTCAATGCTTTTCTATAGTAAAATCATTTACAATACATTTTTATATCATAATCATTAGCAATCTATATTATAAACTGAATCTCTTTCTATGGCTTATCAACGCTTTGCAGGTTATATAAAGCCAGAAAATGTTTTTATATTGTAAGAATTTTTTTGCGATAATGATTTAATGATACAACTCTTACTAATTAACCCATAGCTGGTGGAGAGAAGAGGTGGGTTCATACTTTCCCCAAGGGTATTTGCACATATATAACAAACCCAACTGGAATTGGAACATGACTCTCTGATTGGAAATTCCTACACATTAACCATTATACCACCTGCATATCCAAGCTTACAGCACCTGATATTTCCAATTAGTCACCCATCAAGTTATTGACCTGGCTCAACATTGCTTCACTTCAGTGATCATATGGGAGCTGGTGTTTCAATGTGATGTAGCCATAAGCTGACATTTCATTCAAATATTAAAAATGTTGCAACTTATCAAACTTATTTAGTTACAAGGAGGCAAGGAAAAGTTCTTGGTTTAACCAAGAAGGGATAAAAAAATAATCTGATGTTTGGTTATTTGAGAACTTTTCAGCACCTCCTCATCTATATGGCAATATTGAAATGCTTTTTGTTCAATAATATCTTCTTGCTAATAAAAATGGAAGCAGGTGTGAATCCTGCAGAAAGAAATGGAATTGTCTTATTGGCACAGCAAAAACAAGTATAAAAATGTTCACAATAACAGATCCCAGAATGTTGGGAAGTGACTGAAAACCATGCTACAGGTTGATTCAAGCCTTGTTAGTGAAATTGGGAAGATAAAATTGTCATTGATGGCTGTGCTACCACAAAGTTGCAAGTCATCATGACTGAGTATATTGGTCTTGTCCAAACTGGTGATCATGCCAGATTATGCACTTTCTCCAAGAACTAAGGCTTACTCAGAATAGTTACCACATGTTTGATCTGTGAGTGATTAACAAACACAACTGTGTTTGAAACAAGGATGAGCTATTTACCCAAGCAGACAGACATACTTGGAAACAAACAGCCAGCCAACAAAAAAAAAAAAAAAATCTATATAAAGATTGTTTCACTAGACATAACTGTTCTTAATACTAGTTGATATGGTAGGTCACATTACCGAAATACTACAGAATTAAAGTAACTCTTTTTCTTATTTAGAAAAAATTTTCATAGTAGTTGTCACTCTTATTCAGTTGGTCAGTTAAGTCAGTGACCATGTCTCTTTCAATTCATGACTAACAAACAGAAGATTTTCCTGCAGTAGGTCACTGTCTCTTTCTGTTGTAGACTGGTTGCCAACCAAAGCTAGACCCAATCTGTTTTGCTATTCAACCTATAGTTGTAGCCAGAAGAGATAGATTCCTACTTTTCCAAAGAGTATTTGCATATAAGTGAATATAACACACCTGACTGGAATTCAAACTCAGTCTTCTGATTTCTCATTCCAAACCAGTCTCCATTACTCCACAATACACATTAATCTTATTTGAAAAGTTAATTAATATTTGTTTAAGTCTATTCTTTAAAATACACTGGTGGAATATTAGGTTTAGCAAAAAAAATAAGTTTTCATGCAATTGAAAGAAAGCAATATAAAATTTTAGAAAAATGAATTTCAACTGATCATGAATCAACAAAAGGGATTGTAAAAGTGTATTTATTTCTGAAAAAAAAGACAGCATAGTTAATAAGAAAAATAAAAGGTGGATTCAAACATTTTTCTGCAATGGCATTATATCTCCCTTGTGACATTATCAATGAATTTGGAATATAACTGAAATTGGACTTGTACCAAGAGATAGAACAATATCTATAGGACTGCATCTGAGACTATGAAAAGTCCACTTATTAGCACAAGAGGCTACTGAAAAGTTCTCGTTCTGACTAAGAAGCCCTTCCTCCATCTGTCTATATTTCTGAGATGAGGTATTATGTACATTATTTGGACTACTGTCCTCATCTTTGTCGCCATACTTATTACAACATTTCAACTGTAGTATGCTCCGGCCTTCTTGAGGTGTTTGGAATGTTGAACTTAACCCTTTATTTTGCTCACTGGGGTAGACTGTTCTAGTTCCACATGCTATGTTTAATGGATGTCAGTTATCAGTTATCTCCTTTTAATTTCCCTCTGAAAGTTCTCCACTGCCTTAACCAGGTATTGAACTCACACTTTTGGGTCCAGTCACTGGATCTAACCAATGCCTTTATCCACTGTGCCATGTGTCCAAAAGAATGCGAGTTCAATACCCGGTTAAGTCAGTGGAGAACTTTCAGAGGGAAATTAACAGGAGATAACTGATAACTGACATCCATTAAACATGGCACGTGGAACTAGAACAGTCTACCCCAGTGAGCGAAATAAAGGGTTAAGTTTGACATTTCAACCACCTGAAGAAGGCCTGAACGTTGTAATAAATATGGCGACAAAGATGAGGACAATTTGTCCAAATAATGTAAATAATTCCCTTCCCCTATATTTTGATAAGTGGGTTAGTCAAGGAACTTTTCAGAAGTTCCTTGTAAGATAAGGCCAATTAAATTTTATGTTGTCAAAAACTATATTTCTTATGCTCTTTAGCTTTAGATACTGTTGGAAAATACTGTCTTTGAAGTCAAGAACAAAATGCCAAGGCTATATGAGAAGAAGCTGATGTTTGATTTGGTCACTGTTTGGTATCAGTTATCAAGAAATAATCAATTTGACTTTGTAGTTTTATATGATTAAACATAAGCAACAGTAAATTGTTTAGTCCCAATCAAATAAAAGAAAACATTGATGAAAGGTTGGTGTCACGAGAGCCCAAATTACAGACCTTTAGATTTTCACCCCAAAAAGAGGTTATCTTTATGGGGCTTTTTGAATGATTAACTGGTTAATTAAAGAACTCTTACTGTGTCACTATTATTGCCAGCAAGGTAACGCCTTCCAAACGAATGATCTCTATTTATCATCTCAGAGACCTCTTTCTGCCTTCCATCAGCATACCTGACACTAGCCTCTAGGAGAGTGTCTTGCTGCATCTTCTTGAGTTAACATTCTCTGCTGACATGAAGTTGAAAAATTATATTGAATCAGTTGCTAGGCTAGCTGTTAGGAAAGTTGGTTCACTGTCATGCTAGACAATTTTTCTTGCTAGAATCTATCTTACATAGTTGTAAGTGCACCACTGGTACAGGATTTGAATATTGCTGTCACACATGATCTGGCGCTCCTGCTATATATTTAGAAATTCTTTGAAAAATCCAAAGAAGAATCTGAAATGTTACTGGTTCTGACTTTGCATCTTGGCTTCAGTCACTTTCCCACTGCCATAATGTAGCTTCCCTGTGCCTTTTCTATGAATACTTTTATGTTAATTGTTCTCATAAACTTTCCTCTATGGTACCTAGACATTATGAATTTAAGTGCAGTTCTACATTGGCAACAAAGTCTCATCAATTTACAGTTGAATAGGCTTAGTGTAACCATAAGTTCAATGCTAACAGTTTCTTTTCTCACTTGTGGAAATCTCTTCTGGCTTCTTGCTTTCCAGCTAACTTTCATCCTAAAAAATCTAAATGTAATGTCAATTGTTATCTATTGTCTTGATTCCTCCTTAATAATGTTTTTCTTTTTCTTTCACACTCACTAACCCCTTGTGTCAGTGGCTTTATTGCTTTGCTTGAGGTGAAATGATTGATACCCAAAATGGTAGCTTTTATATGTATCACTGAACCAAGAGCAGACAACTAAAATTATCTTTTAATCAAGGGCCATAACTCATCTTAACAAAACAAGTAGGATACAATATCATTCCTTTATCAAAAATTTTGGTTATGATATATAATTTTATTCTGAAGTTAGAGACTATATAAAGCTTCTGTCAATATTTGTGTATATGTGTAAAAATGGAAGAAAATACTTTGAGAGTGATTTTTTTAAATCTAGGAATTAAGGTCAACAGAAAAATTCTTAGCCTGATCCACTACCCAAAATCTGACCATATGACCAAACAGCAGATTTTTGGTAATCTTGTACCTTCATACCCACAAAAAAAATGGAGTGTCTAATGGTTAACTTTTCCATTGACATTGGTATTATTTTAACTACCTTCACTCTTCGGCAATGTTTGTTTTAAAAAGTGAGGATTAGAATTTTAATAAAACCTAAACATATGTCAAAAGTGAATTTATACGTTTTTTTTGGGGTTCTTGATAAATAACAACAAAAATAATACACACTATTTATTATATTGTTTATTGGAATGGTTGGCATACCAATTGCCAATTAATTTGAATGTTATAAAATGGTAAATAATAAGGATTTGTTTATAGTTCACATATTTTTATAATTTAGTAAATGTTTATAGAGTTATGAATAAAAAATGTTTTTATCTTTATTTCTATATAAATTGGTAAATTATAAATATTGCATTGTATCAATTTTAATAGAATTGTATTAGTTTTTAGAATGTTATAACTATAAAATTATTCTTGTAAATAAGCAATCTAATAAATAGTGTTTAATATTTTTGTCGTAAATTCTCAAAAAAAAAAGATGTATAACTTCACTTTCATCATATGTTTAGGTTTTATTGCAATTCTAATAATTGCTTTTTAAAACAATAAATATTGCCAAGGAGTGAAAGTAGTTAAAATAATAACAGTATCAAGGGAAAAATATCCTTTTGACACTATGTTTTTTTTTTTTTGTGGACATGGAGGTCCAAGATTACCATATTTTTTTTTGGAAGCATTTCTTGACTGAGCTGAGAACTTTTCAGCACACCCTTGCATCCTTCTGTTTGCTGTAAGGTTAATATAGTAAGAATAAATTAGTTACAAATGGAAAAGTTTCCCCAGGCAGCTAACAAGTTAGCTCTGAGTAGAAAATTATATAACTCTAGGTTTATATAGAGCTAAATAGTTTAGTTCATTTCGATAAGCAGGTTTGACATAGCTAAAACAGTTGGTATTCATTATAACAGACTTGCATACACAACCAAGACTGATCACAACAATCATTGTTTAAGTAACATCACAAAAATGCCTATCACCAAATTGTCTTGACAATGTCTTTATTTTCCTGACTCTTTCAAGCCCAACATTTGTTTTTATTCAGCTTATCTATTTGTTATATTCCATGCTAATAAGAATATATACTTGAAAAACACAATGAATAAAATAAGTAAGGTTTATTGTAAAAACCAATACAATAGGAATAAAGGTAATAATTATGCACAAGGTCGTCGCAAATCAATCCAGTAGTGAGTGCTACTATTGGAAGGTCAGTAGTTCTCGCATAAGTCAGCGTCATACTCAACAAATCCCAGCTAGAATCTGTAGTCCGTTGGCTTACAGATACTTATAGTTAGTTACTACCTATAATGTAGTCACTCATGGGGGTGACAAGTTATTCCATTACATCACTATTATTGTGA